TCGGTTTAGTCTAACCTAACTGTCCCTAGGCCAACAGTATGTAGTATGCAACATCTCAAAAAAAAAAAAAAAGAGTTTGGAAGTTCAAAGCCATTGCAGAGAAGTACAATTCATGCCACCTGGTTCGCTTATTGTGCTGGATGTGTAAGTGGCCTGTCCAGTCTCCCAGTTGAAGCACAGCAGTTTTAGAAGCAGTCAGTACAGCTGTCACACCCCTACCGAGGGTGGTTTTTACACCTGGAATGGCTGTTCCGTTACAGAAGGAAATCACCTCTACAAGTACAGGAGCTCCATGTGCCTGAGCACCCGCGCCACGCACCGAGGAGAGGTTAGTTGGGTCAGCCAGTGCCTAGGTGTGCCGTCAGCTACTATGTACAGGTTGGCACCTTCGACAATTAGTGCTGATCACTCGACTTAACCAACATCGGTGTGTGGCCACACGACTACCGCCACCCAGCCCCATACACCAGGTCAGAGGACAAGCATGGTTCAAGCTACAGTCGGCTATGGCTACGCGCTTGTTGTCTCTTCTCCTCCCTTACTCCAAGGTGTGCTCGGGGGGGGGAAGGCAGCACTCCTGCTCCTGGCCCAGCTGGTGGAGTTTTATTTGAGCATGATCCATAGTATTCCCCCCACTCCCAGTGGAAGTAAAGCAATGCCTAAACCCTTCCGTTTTCACATCCCTTTTTCTAAGGCTAGTTGTACATTTGTACAGCCCCCTGCAGATCTTTCAGCGTGGCAGGCACTCGTGTTTAATCTAAAGTCATTTCACAGTTTAGATTAAGAGAAACCCAATAGGCACAAGCTTGTTGAAAGCCACACCTTGAAAACTTGAGTTGATGACAGTAACCCAAAGAGATTTTAATGACGAATACTTGCAGAAATGAGAATAAACATATGTAGTCCACTACTTCAGAGCTTGTTCTGATCATGTTGGGCCAGGCTTCTCAGTGAGGTCTGCTAAACTTCTTGATCAGTACTGGACATTCGTATACTGTCCTTCCGAAGATGTGGAATAGCCAAGGCAGTACTTTGACCCACGCGCTCCTTCAACTCGGTCAAAGCTTGTCGTCCGTCATTTCTAGAAACTGAGCGTAGACATCCCTTGAGCATTCTCCTTTTTGGTTGAATAAGAACTTGTAGTAGCTGCCATCTGCACATATTGCTGAAACAAAAACAAAGTCATGTCAAGCTCTGCTCTTCCAGAGGTACCGTTCTGTTCCTGCAGCTACAGCTTAAACTGACCCGTCAAGCTGACAGAACACACAGCGAGGTGCTCTGGAGGAACCCGAGGTAGGTCAGTCCTCACGCGGCGTCTGCCAGCACCGCACCCAGGCTTGCTTCCTCAATTCCACCCTGGGCGCTGTTGGAACTTACTCCCTTGCAGCGCTGAGCGGCGAAAGCTCCTGTTGCGGCTGACAGGGACATGCAGCGTTCTCCCATGGACGCGTTCCCTCCAGCTCAAAGCCAGTGTAGTGCAAAACCTCGTTCTCCAGACAGAACCTGGGGAAGCCTCCAGTACTTACCTATGACAGCGTTTGGCTCTGTTCCAAAGGCACAAATGCACGGAGAGCCTGAGGGAACCTGAAATTTGGAAAAACTCCATTTGGAACTGAAGTATTTGGGGAGAAAGGTGGCAGAGGCCAAACTGAAAGAGAGAAAAAAAAAAGTGTAACAATTTAGTAAAGTGTTGACTAGAGTTGATTTAGAGCTGCTGGCGTGTTTGAACAAGTCACAGGGTTCACACTAACTGCTATTTTTGATTGGCTTTTTATTTTCTTCTACTAAGTATCAGGGAATATGTACGATTTCTCTTCTAGGGAACGGGGGGGCCCTACAACTACCTTTCTGGCTTTATGTTTTTAAGTGACTGCAAAAACTGCCAAAAGGATTGATTTTTAGTCGCGATTGCTTTATGTGAAGTGTCCACAAAGTATGTTCATGCTACGAGAGAGCCACTAAAAAACCCCCTAACCTTCTGCTGGAATTCTACAGCTCGGCAAAGGACAGCAGAAACTTGGCAGTCGCTATATAGTCCTAAATCTGCAACTTCACTCAAGCACAGCAGATTAATCTTGCCACTTCCAGTAGTGTAGGTATTCGCTACTGCTTGACAAGACCAGTGTTTTAAACTCTAATAAAGAGGTCAAGGCTCCCTCAGCCCCTCTAAAGGCTTCAGAATGGCTCAAACCCTACCTTGACTGCTTATTTCTTTTAGGGTCTTCTGCAGCAAAAATATGTACTGTGCCGTGGTCGCTGGATACGCAGATTAGGGAAGCATCTTGATTGAAGTTAATACTGTAGAGAATACAGAACAGTTGCAGTATTTCTACTGGAACATACCCCCAGCCTCTGGTGTACACAATTCTGTTTCTGTAGTTGCCTAGAGCAGCTGCCAGCCTGGCAGGCACGGTGTTAACAGCTCCTCTCTCCTGGAGGAGCTGGGACTCCTCCAATTCAGCGCTGCTTTGCTGACGGGATGAACAGCCCCTTCAGTGGCGAGTGCACGCACTGGGAACAGGACCTGGTTTATCAGGCCCAGCTGTGCAGCAGACTGCCCTGACCTGGGCCGTTCTGCCACTTCTGCGGGAAGAAGCTGCACGACCTCTGCTCCGAGGAGTAGGTAGGTAGCAGAGAAAACGTGCAACACCCCAGAGTGGTGCTAAGTAGAAGAAGGGAAGTTTCCCCACTCCTGGGAGAGTGCTTCCAGCAGTGGATTAGTGTCAGACTTCCGCCTTGGGCTCTCGCACGCGGAACAGCGCTGTGTTCTAATAAACTTCCACTCGCCCCAGGTGCCCATCCTAGTCTCTCTGGGAAGCGTTGGACTGCATCATTGCATTCTCCATATTTCAGCATGAAGTCAAAGCATCCCCCAGCTACCGTTTACTTGATGCAGAGAACTGGGCCTATCAATATGTACGTTTCTGTCGCAGCCCCTGTAACCTGTGCCGTGCTTCACGCAGCTGCTGGCTCCTGCTCTCTCCTCGCCGGCACCGAGCAGAGAGGAAGACGCACAGGCCCAGTGGAGCCCTGGGACCTCTGAGTGCTGGGAGAGCTCTGCCTTGTGCCTGTGGCAGTGTACCTCTGCTTTGCTTTTTGAAGATGACTTGGGTGCTGTTTACCAGGCTGCCTCGGCACAATACCCACAAGAAGACAAAGCAAAACCAATTAAACATACCAGTATATATTGGCTGCCTGTGATCCTCTTCGTAGTTCCTGGATTAAATGCCCTGATGAAGTATCAAATATTCTTATGAGGGTCCCCTTGAAAAGGAATCGAGCATTGTATTAGGAAAGACAGAAGACTCCTTACATCTGTGAATGCATCCTAAAATTCTGTCTGACCAGTGTGCCCCTACATACACAACTGAGTTTTTCGTCTCAGTAGATTTAAGAGAACTTCTCTTAATGATAATTTTTGGGAGGAATATTGATTTGCTCCCTACACCATCACCACAATGTTACAATGCTTTGGTATACAATCTTCTAACTAAGTTTCATCCATGTTATGTTCTAAAGCACTAGTGCAGCCCTGGCATTAGTTTGCAAACATTAGAGTAGACTTGTGTACAGCCTTCTGTGCCCAGGTTCTGCGAGTGATTTCTTTCTTGCTCCCCATAGTCAGGACTCTGTTTTGATTGCTACTGTGCAATTTTTTTTTTTCCACTTAAGTATAATCAGCCTGTGGCTGGTCTTGCCTTAGAAGTAGTTCAGTTGAAGTAATCTAGAAGAATGAGTTACCTATCACATGCTTGTTATCTGTATTGACCCCAACTGGAGAGATGAGTCGGGTTACAGACAGACTACTGCATTAGAAAACTGTACTTCATTTAGAGTAAACTAAGCTTGACACCAGAGATGCAAAACAAGTCAGTGTATCCTAAATAAAGCGATCAACAATTCAGTAGTACTTTCATCTGATGCAGAGTGGGTATATGTTGTCACCTGCAACTCATGTTACACACCTGGTTAACAAATGGATCTCTCCAGTTGCACACCAGTAAAGGCCAGAGCCCAGCACAGAAAGATTCAGGTAAATGTCAGTTTTGATTTAAGACACGAGCTTGAGACATTTTTGCCTACAGTATGCTCAGTGTGGCAGTTTGCCCATACCCCTATTTCAGTTTGAAAATTCTCTTTGAACTTTTTCTCTACACAAAAAAAGGAATGTCTTACTACAAATTCAGCAGGTTATTCTATTTAGCAATGGAGTTGGCAGTTTTAAGAGCTTTGTTTAGAAGATGTACAGTAATGAAGCTTAGTTAAAAGATACTATGGCTGCATTTTCTTTTTTTAAGCTTTTTGAGCTATAAGCTGTGCAGTAGAAACTATTCTAAACAGAAACTCGTTGGATTAATTTAGCTTGTCCTTGAGAAACTCATTTCTGTTGAGTGGAAGAAGGTAGCGAGTACTCAACTTGCCTCAGGTAGCTGTGTACATCTACCTTACATTCCTTGGGACACTTTGGAACCAATCATCCTTTGGGAGATGAAGCTCGCTAGCAGACTCCACTGAAGGTCCTTGGAGAAGGCAGGTCTATGTCTAGCTTTGCCTTCTTCAGCCCAGCCCAAGGGCATTTGTACTATGCAGTAACTTCATGTTTTTGTCAGTTTATTGTGTTTTTTAGCCCTATGTAACATAACGACTGCACACAATTTGTAAATATTCCAAGAATCATTTTATCATTTACGCTCTGCATGAAAACATCTGCAGCGTGTGTGTGAGTGTCCTGGTTTCGGCTGGGATAGGGTTAAATTTCTTGCTAGTGCTGTGTTTTGGATTTAGTATGAGGAGAACGTTGATAACACACTTATGTTTTTAGTTGTTGCTAAGTACCCTCCTAGTCCAAGGACAGCTCCCATGCCTACTGACGACTGAGCTAGGTACACAAGATGGGAGGGAACATACGCAGGACAGCTGGCCCAGCTGGCTAATGGGAGGCAGTGCACCTCCCTCCTGGTCTGCAGCAGGAGGTAAGCCAGAGCAAAACCAAGTCCTCCAGTACAACAGACTATTTGCAACTATTTCTTTAGCCAGTGGTTTTAAAGTGAATTTAAGCAGAAACTAATAAAGGTGAAAGAATGCAAAAAAGCTTTCCCCCCTCCCCCTTTATTTTAAAAATTAATAGTATTTATTGAAGAACACATGAAATGTGAACTGCTTGGCCCAGATCTCGTTCAAACGTCACTGAGAGTCACTGCTACATTCTGCTAAAACATAAAGGCTACCTCAGGACTGCATTGGGATTGCTGTTTGAATATCCTAAAGGAGCAGTAAAGATAAAGACAAACGGAGAACGTATATTTCAATGACAAGTTTTCCAGTTAGTTATTTCTATGTCTTTCCTACAAAAGGATGCGACTTCCTATTCTAGACAGAGTTATTACGCTAGAACGCATAGTAAATCAGAGGTAGGAGGATATTACTCTTACTTTTTCTGATGCTGTTGCGATTCTTGTTCCCTGCAGGTTTAACGCTATACAGCTCAAGACTCCTTCATGAGCCGGTATGTCGACAGGAGGCTTTTCTGTATTAGCGAGATCCACTATCTGCACATGCCCAGTATGTGTTCCAGGAAATGCAAGAAGAGAATTATTACTATTTGGACAAAGGACACACAGACCTAAAAGACAAAAAAAAAAAAAGAAAAGAAAAGAAAAAAGAAAGGAGAATAACTGTGTAGTTCCCATAACCTGATAAAGTTTTCAAACATAAGTTTCTAAAATACCGGTAATTTCAGAATAAACAAACATACATGTAGTAAATCAGAATTTCATTTTAATGGCTATTGTGGTATCCCAAAACATGATCTGTCCACAAGTGCAGAGCATAGAGAAGTAGGCGAGTAGCATAATTTTAACTTGCTCTCATCACTTTATTTCAAAGTAAGCTAGTTGTGGTTATCCAAAATCTGGATGTTTTCAGAGATCAGCTCCATCAGTCTGTTACAGCAAAGCTATTTAAAAAAAAATTAAAAAGTCTCCTTAGAAGCTCGAAAAGGGTAAGAATTTATAATAGGTGATATTTTAGTTTCTCCTCTGTCAGTAAAACTGGTTATTATTAATTCACATTTGAACTTGGTTCTTATGGTACTTGCACTTTTTTTTCTTCATAACTTTTTGCAGACCATTTAAGGTAAATCACATCTCTCCCAGGCTTTCTGCTGATACCAAGTAAATTCCTGCAAACTCAGTCCACAGCTAGCAGAGCAATGGGTGGGTACCACAAGGAACTCTACTGCATCTACTGCATCTTCCAGCATATGCCCACCAGCCTGTAAGTCAGCATGCCGAATCTGCATTTATGCTGTGCTGCCCTGAGCACAGCCAGCAATTCCGTGTTTGCTTCTAGCAGGTTTGAAAAACCTCTGAGGATGGGGACTCCAAGCCTAAGTAACCTCCTGGTGGAGAAAACACCTTCCTGACCTCCAGGCTGATCCTCCCAAGATATCAAGCATAGCCATACCCCTTGTTTTGCTGCCTGGCACTATCAAGATGAGTTTGGCTCCACCATTTCTGCAACTGTCCTTCAGGTAGCTGTAAGCCACCAGCTGCAGATAGCCCTTCACAGTCTTCTTTTTGCATGAGTAAACAAGCCCAACTCTTCAACCTCGCCGTGCAGGCCATGTGCTTTGGGCCCCTGGCCATCTTCATAGCAGGGCACAGTTGTGCCCGGAGGCAGATATTCACACAGTTGCCATTATACCCTTCCAGCTTTAGACCTTCACGTACACAGCTAGACTTAAGTGTGCAGCTGATGTGGGAGTACGCTCGCTGTTCCCTCTCAAGGCTCTTCTTCTAGACAGGACCTCCCTTTTTCAATAAAACCTACTGCAACAAAACCGTTTCCTTAGGTCAAACCCAAGCCCTATCCCTCCCGCGCCTACCTGGAGCCTAGAGCTGGCATCACTGCACCAGACAGTACTTAGCCTGTGGCACTAATACTCAGCTTGGTTCAGGATACCTTCTGCTCGTTTCAACAAAAGACAAAGCCGTACCTTGCTATTTAAAGAGAACAATAGCAGTTTGCTAATTAGGCTCTTTCTGATGCTGTAGAGAATAGTTTGCTAGACAGTTCTAGCTCTATTAGAAAAGAGGAATGATGCACTTTAATAGAGTTTGTGTTTATAATTAAGCTTTCAGCACAAAATACATCAAGTTTACAGGTTCTTTGCAAAAGAAAGCATATAGCTCTTATAGAAATCAAATCTATAGGCATAGCTTTTCTGTGCCAAGTATTAATAAATTTTAGTAACCATTTTATAAACACAAAAGCATCTCCAAAGGGCATGACTATCATACAGTAAGTAAACTCTTTAATGACTTACTAAATGAAACTGATTCAGGCAGCTAAAATACACAGCATGTCAAGAACAGAATAAACTTGCTTCCATTCCCCAACCCATACACACAACTAACCTTTAGGGTTGTAGCAGGTTTCAAAGACGTGCAACTGGTGGGGATTGTGTGTGAATGTGAAAACTTTAATCATCGAGTCCAAGACTACCACAATTCTGAAACAGACAAGAAGTGCCTATGACTTGGGGCGGGTAACACAGGGACATAGATACTAATTCAGATTTGCAAAGGCTTTCAACTGATTTAATAGCTATATTCTTTCCCACCCCCCCAACAGACTTACAGCCTTGCAAAAAAACATGCAACTAAGAGCCTGCAAAGCTTTATCCAAAGCTGTGACAGCAGAACCCCTCTGCCCACACATACACAGACTCCAGCTGCTAATAGATGCTCTTGCTCTAGAGATCTGCTTGAATTCCCTTCACACTCCTCCATACTTAGCAGTAGCCACATGAGAACATTTCCCTCCATGAGGGGGCCAGAAAGTCTTACAGGCTTTTCACCAGGGTTTCAGATACCAGTATACTTGAGCTGTGATCTGTTAACACCCATTGCTTGCCCCCAAAAGCCTGTTTTACCTTTAATTGCTGGTTGTGTTTATCTAGGTGTTAAAGCAGGGTCGTCTTCTTTCTACAAACAGCTGGAGATGAATAAGAACAGCGTACAAAGCCAAGCTGCGCATTTGGAATATGTTTTTTGTACCTACCTATCTCTTCGCAGCTTAACTGCTTTGACTTCTGTAGAAAACTCTATCTCAATGACGGTCTTCTTCTTCAGGTCATCCCAGATCATTACTAGAACAGTGCAGAGATTGCATTAGATCATCAAGGCATATCCGAAGATCCACATCGTCTCTATTATAACAACTTCTATTTTCTGAGAAGACTAATCAAGAGCAGCATCCAATAGCTAAGCAATTACAGACTGGCATCCTGCTAACCAGAAGGTATTTAGCTATGACTAACCCGCTCTTTCATGCTATGACTCGCACAGGCAGGAGCTGGTAAACTCTAACCACAAAAACTGACAATAAAAATACATTTTTCTAAAGACAATCAGCTTTTCTGTGTTGCTCTGAGGGTTGTCAAAGAAATAAGGCAGCAGTCAAAAAAAGTAGCGTATTTTACTACAAAGCTTGCCAACCAGGGACCTTTTCCCCCTCAGGTTGCTGAGCCATAGAGTCTCATTGCAAAGTGAACTGCGAGAAGTACAGACTTGTCACCAGGTCTCGGAGACTGGTCATTGCAAGTAACTGCCTGTTAACACCGCAACAGCAGTGACGCAAGTTATTTCACCGCATTTACTTAAACCTGCTGCAACATCCCCTCTATCCAACCTTCAGAATAGCAGACCCCAGCTCAAGGCATTTGGTTTGGGAGTTCTTTGGGCAGTTTCACACAGATAGCAAGGCAAACAAAGATCTATTCCTCGAGACTCACCTTTGTTAGGTGGGTACTTTGGCTTTTTCCCTCCACCTACTAGTGCTAAATAGTTGCAACGAAACAACATTTCGACATGGCCAACACCACCTTCTAGAAACTCTGAAAGACAAACATTTTTATTTAAAAGTGTCAGAACCTGTTAAAATGCCATCTATTTTTTTACCACTGTTACAAGAAAAGCTCGTGTTATCTAGCACTTCTGTCAGGCACCTGAGAAGAATAGTATCTTCCTACCCTGGCTGACCTTAAAAAACAGAGAATCCTCTAAGAAAGGGGGTGAAAGACAAGAAATCCTGACGAAAAGGGTGGGGTTTTTTGTGCTTGTTTAAGATCAGGATTCTCAGCAAAGTTGCCTTATTTTTCATAGCAATGAAGATCACCACTGTTGTGGTCACAGGCCTCATTTTCATATATAGAAAAAACACAGCCAGGTTTTAAAGTTATATTAAAACATGCTGCATGACAGGAGATCAAGCAATATCATCATGACAGCTTGATCATTTCTATTACAGAGTGGGTTTGTAAATATGTTTAGAAAGACTGTCCCATTAGCTCAGATTAATTCTCCTCACATGCACACATTCCAAGTCTGGTGTTGCTCTATTATGCTAATGCCATGCATTTAGAAAAATACCAGTGGTATTCATTAGTCACGAACCTTTTTATTTGCAAGGGGCTTCTTCTTTATAGACTTGGTGGATTTGAGGAAAGAACTCTCTTCTCTGGAGCATACCCATAGCTGCTAGAATAGATAAGCAGCACAGTCCAGCTCCAGCAAGCCTGCACTCAGTGATGCAGAAAACATAGCGACAGCAAGGTACATCAGCTGGTGCAGACAGTTTCTCATTTTATAGTGCAAAGAAAAGATTTTTTTTCTTTTTAAGAATCTCAACTGGAGTAGAGTAAAATGCCACGCTTATGGTGCAAGAGAAGAAAAAATATCAACCAGGGGATTTTATAATAAAAGAATTTTTCAATTTGTTGACATTTGAGTGGGGGCTTAGCTTTGTTTACATAGCTTAGAGGGATGCTTGGCATTTCACTGGGGAGAGGGAAGTGAACTGTCAGGAGGAGAGGCCATAACTGTGGCCTTCAAGGTAATGAGCAGAGTTAAAAACAAACTTCTACTTTAAAAGACTGTCCAATAACTCCACACTCTGGCAGGTTGCAGCAGGAAAGGTGGACGAAACTAGTAAATCATTTCAAAGCTAGAGGAAAAGTTGAAATTTCACAAGGACTCAAGAGAGACCTACTGTCAGAAATAGGGATGGGAGAAAACAGCAAAAATGTCTGAGGAGCTGGGAGGAAGCACTACAATGGAATGATGTAGACGTACGCATGAAGGATAGGACAAGGGAGATTCAGTTAGACATTAAGAAGCACTGCAGTACATCTGGATGAGGAATTTATGTTGGGACTTGACCATACAATGCTGAAGGTAGATGTCTGGAAGGATATTCCTACTGGAGCAGTAAAGCCTTGCATTTCATACAAGTCCTTGTGGTTTCTTCAACAACACTTCTGACTGCCAAGTTTCCTTCCTTAACAGTTGTATTTGGACACTACCCCCTTCTGCACCAGATCCTCCTCTTAACTCCATTAAAGCATTTAAAGCATGACAGCACATTTTGTTATGAAGAGGTATTATCACCGCAACAAAAAGTCTTAAAATATTTACGAATGAAAACCCGAGACAATTTAAGAACGTGCAACGTGTTCTGAATCTATGTTAGAAAAGACACTTTAATCATTATCTTTACAATTCTGACAGGTGATGCTTGGATGGGGAACTTCATGGAACTCCTGGATATAAGAGGGACAAGCCAGGGTATAACAGTTAAGACTTGGTTTCATACTGGGTTACAGAAATCAATCAAATAGACAAGCTCCATCTGGGACTATCTCAGGTAGGCTTAAACATACATGAAAGACGAACAAGATTTCTCTGTGCACCTATGCAGCCAGTACAGTCTGACTTCTCGGATCCACAGGGGAAAGGCAATCTGACTCATAAGAAACATTTCACTATAGGAGTCCTGGAAGTATGGAAGAGCTACTGGCAGAGAGAGTTTTGACAAGGCAATCAACAGGACTTCAACCTGAATTCTGACCCTTTTAGCCCACTATCACAGATGATAGTCCCAAGACATGTTGCTTACGGAAGACTTTAGTATTAAGAACAGAAAACAGTTTGTCAGCTTTGGCCACGTGAACAGTGACTGAAATCTCTTACAGCACTAGAAAGTGAAAGCATGCCTGGTTTCATAGAAATTGCTCTTTTAAACACATTTTTCCTCTTATTAAATCCCTTCTATCATCACAGGCTGGAAGTGCTGTGAAACCTGTTTAGCATGGCAGCTTTATTCCTATATTTAGGGTTGGAATCACATGGGTAGGTTTCATTTTCCCTTATTTTGACTCAGTTATGTTTGTTTTCTGATAAAAAGCCCCACTACCTGTTAATATAGTTCATCTAGTCATTTCTGTTAAGACATGATACTAGGTTTGCCGCCTTAAGATCCTCTCAAATTTCTTAAGCATACAGAGAATATAAAATTTAGAGTATTAGAGGTCTGAGCTCACAGTGCTCTTGCAAGCAATACTCCAAGCAAGTATGAGAAATGTTACGTTCACATCTCCAGTAAAAAGGCAGTAGTTTTATTGCTGTACTAGATCATCCAGATTACTGCACGAGAGCAGAACAACTTCTCTCGATGGTACATAATAACGCTGCAGCACGCAACTCTTCTCCCACTTGTGAATAACCAGGCAACTTATCTCCTATTCAGGACTACAAACATTAGCAACAGCTAACACAGTTCAGCCTCTGCAAGAAGGTGAGACACATTCATCATCAGCCAGCTTTATGAAAATTAATAGCATATAAACATCTGACCAGGCAGTGGCATAAGTGAGAGTCCCTTTGGGACCAGCACGGACTTCCTTTCTTGAGGCTTTATTCAAAGCCTTCCAGTGATGGAACAGTGAAAGCTAAGCAAGAATCTTACAGGAAAAAAAAGGAGGCGGCTGAGCTTCCAACACAGAACTAGCATGGTATAATAAGTAAGCATTTTACCTTGTTTCTCTTTTTCTTTGAGTGGATCTGCATTATAAACTCGGAATCCATTTTCCATTCCACATGCAAAGCATCCTGTAGTAAAAAGCACATATATATACACATATATAGTAATTGTGAGATACACTCAAGAACTAAGCGAGAGCCAGAGGGTTAAGAGAGCATTACTTGATAACTGCATTGTTAAATTCAAGCTGAAGACCACTTGCAGGCTTTGTTAGTGTTTGCAAGTGAAAACCATTTAGAGGAGTTGTCCTCCATTGAAAGTGGAACGTTCTCAGTATTCTTTTTAGACAGGTAAGAAAACAATGGAAGGAAAGGAATGCAATTCCCAACCCATCTGTATCCTATGCAATACAGAGGGAAGGAAACCTGCATTTTAACTTGTATGGTCCAACAGTCGTTATGAAGCAAAACCCCTCCTTTCTTATTAGATCCAAATTTACACCCTGATTACGACTGTATGAAGTATGATCCATTGTTCATGTTTGCACAGAAGAGAGCTTCTCAAACAAAGTTTTTAAGAATGCTCTAATGAGAGCCTACTGAGTCGGATGCCAATAATTACATGCCAATAGCTTAAGTCTAAACCAGGGAACGACTAGAAGCCAGATTAAAATACTCTGGAAAAATTATTTTAGTTACATTTACATACAGAATTATGCATGTGCCTTTTTAGTGGAATCCATCAAACTACCAGTATCCTGTCCTGATGTTTTACTCGTTAATGGGTGAATGCAGTTACTAATATAAAGAAATGGCAGTGTGAAGTTAGAAGCAGCTACCGTTGCTAGAGGCAGACTGACAGAAGATTAGTTGCTACACAATTTATATGCACTACACCAAAAATCCAATTAAGATCTTCAAGGTACTGGAACAGAGATATTCAAATTAGTCTGCTTTTATTCTTATGCACTGCAATGACTGCAACGATTTAAACCCCCCAAGTAAAAGTTGAGGATCTATGTCTAAATGCACCCCTTCCCCAAACTCAATACCCAAAAATCACAGGGCGGGTGGGGGAAGGAGGGAAGAAGTCTTCACTCTTAACGCCAGGTCTCCAAAACCATTTGCTCATAGCTGGGTGACCCATTATTTCCTACACACAAGACTGGACTGGTTTGCTGTGGATCAATGGCTCAGAAGCTGGCAAAAGGGCTCAGACTGCAAGAGACTGTTTCAGGTGTTCCTGGAGCTAAAGGTCCACAAACAGCCAGCACTGGTCCTCACAACACAGGCAGCTAACTGTGTTTGTAGTTTGCATGCTATTAGCTTAATATAAGCTCAATTTGAAAAATTGCATATGCTCACTGAAGAGCAAGCAAGCAACATTCAATACATGTCTTCTGCTGCTCATATCTTGATGCAGGTTAAGATGTCAGAAGAAATAATATAATTGGTGACTTTTTTTTTTGTTACAACAGAACAAAATCAATGTTCTCACATAAGAATACAAAAATGTATAATAAACTTGATCTTGACAACAGTATTAGTTTAAAAACACCACAGTTTGGGAAAAATAATGCAGCCAATCTGAGATTCCTTTTTAATACTTCAAGAGTTTCATTCGAAGTAGGACCACTTAAAGAAAAAAAAAAAACCAACAAAAAAACCAACCAAACACAAAACCTCCCAACCAATGAAAACGCAACAGCAACAAGAAAAGGCATCACGCACATCCTCTACTTTACAGACCAGTATCTTACGAGGTGTTTGGCAGCATCCTTAAGGTTCCTATTCACTGAACTTACACATACAAAGGAAAAACTACTACAAGACCCATCTCTGCACCCTTCAGTGTAGAAAGGAAACAAATTAATCCTCTTATTGTACATATAGTCACTAACAGCAGAGTCACAGACCCAATATACCTGACTGTTCTAACAGTAAAACAGTTAGCTAAACAGTGAAGAAAACAAAACACACAAATAACCTGCTCCCCAGCCCAAAAGACTCACAGACACAACTTCACTCTGTCAAAGGTTTTGTAATGAATTAAGTGCAAAAAGTTCTTGTTGACATATGTAAACACACATAAAGAGTGGTTAACAAGAATACAATAATTATAGAAAGATTAGTATACATATTGAAATAGATGCTTTTAAATTAACTACATTCATTTTATCTCTCCCTTCTCAGTGCATCATTCTTTAGTTTGCTCTGTCAGTTGAATACATAAGTGTGCGCTGCGTTGAAATCACGGCACTAATAAGCTGCCACCTTGTGCAGTATACTTTACTGGGATAACTAGAAAGCAAATTACAATGGAAACGTTTCTCTCTACATAAACAATACTATACAGGATGAGAACTAACTGTTTCCGGTGGCTGTAATGTCTACCCATATAATTATTTTTCCAGCGACAGTTTTATAACTCAATATTGTATTTCCAGTGGAGACAAAGGAGAGGGATGCTGAAACTGTTCTCTACTAAAAGAGCACTGTAAAGTTTTACTTGTATTAATACCAGCAGCTTACAACAAACCCAAACGGAGCATTCCTAATGCAATAAAATGCAGACATTACATTTCCTGTAGCACCACTACAGCTCTTCTGCAGGCCTAACCTCGTGACTAAGACGTGGGCTGCTTTTAATGTCTTGGGAAGATCCTAATTTTTAACTGCAGACAATACACCAGAACTGAGGGAAGGTGAGTAACGGTGATATTCCCCACACAGTCGATCACTACTGATAGAGATATGAAGTTCTCGGTCATGGCAACCTCTGAGCCACACGAGAAAAAAACATACCGGAAGATTACTGCTGCTCATTCAATTCCAGGTTACAGGAACAGCTTTGGAGCCCAGGGTTTCCCATCTGACTGACCCCAGCGTTTACCAGTGCGATCACAAATTCGACAGTTTGGCTACAGCTTGGAAGCTCTTACGTATGAGAGAGGTGGGGAGGGGCTGCCAGAAAAGGGAATTGCTGCAATAATAGGTATGCTTCCTTCCACAGGAAGTTCACTTCTCATTTTAAGAAGGGACAGACATGCTGTTAAGGAGCCACTGACAGAAGACAACTCAGATACTTAACACAAAAAAAAAAAAAAAAAAAATTAATTCAGAGGCTAGGGAAAACTCAATTTCCACAGAATTACTACCCTAGCCCGCAGTTGTGCTTGTTCCTACAGTAAAAGTACTATTTGCCAACAGTCCCAGTGAGGCGACGTGAGTTTTGTTTGTTTTTCTAAAACCAAAGAAAAAGGAAGGGTTAAATTAATGACTATCCTGGAAGATGCTGCAAGCTGAAGGGGGCACGCTGACATAAAGAAGTCTGCAGGCTTTAGGGCCTAAGATCCAGAAATTGCAACAGTGAAGTCTGGGGAAGTGACTATGGCAGGCGCGGTTCCTAGTACATTAGTTTTCCTCGCCACAGCAAATTTGGTCTAAAGCCATAAGAGAGAGCACAGAATCCTACTAACATTTATGGGGTCCTATAGCTAAGCATTTCACTCCACTAAATGAGATCAAATGAATAAGCCAAGCGTTTCAACACCAAAACAAGTCCATGCCCCAGTTTTCAAACTAGCTTTAGACTACAACAGTGACAAAAGAGAAACTTGTCAGCAATTTACACATATACTTTCTGGTATGGTAACTTATTATCATGTTTTGTCTATTCACTTCTGTAAAGCACTTTAATGTCCTTCTGAAAGCATTAGAAAAGTGCTCAAAATCAGGAGTATACCGGCTTGAAATTAAGAACCTAAAGTCAGAGTATTCTGTTTTAAAACAACTGAGAACACCTTGCAATATGGGCCTTCCATTTTTTTTTATTATATTGTTTCTTTATTTTTTTAATGTAAAACCAAAAAGTGGCAAAGGCACCCAATATAAAAATATAGTATGACTCAAAACAGAGTAAGGGAAGCACAGTTCAGAAAAACTGCAGATGCTAGCTTTATGACTTGTCAGTCATGGAAGTTAAGACTTGGAGAGACTTATTAGATCATTCCGCCCATCTTCCCATCATTATGGGATTGGCTAGTCTTAAATTACTAAAAAATTAGGTTATTGTGACAATATATGCAGACACCCACACTACTAAGCTTCAGCACTCAAGTGACTCATATTTCTATTTTTGGTAGAAGCAACAAGGAAGAAGTGAGCTTTTCCTCTTATCTACTCTTCTTTGAGCAGCCAAAGAATTACCTATCCTTTAACACTTTAAAGAGGCCCTAAACTGGCAAAAAGTTAGCATGCTACCTACAGTTCAAAAGTCATCATTCTTAAGCAAGGAGAGCTCCAGGAGCCTGCAAATGAAAGCTAAACATGGTTTTTGTTCAAGTTTTTTGTTGTTATTCAGTTGGCCGGCCAGGCTAGGTAGGCTGGGACTTGAATACTGTTAGGAATAAGCTTCTCAACTTACAGATTCCCAAGACAAATTCCTTAACGACTTTGGATGTGACATTATTCAAAAAAGTGTTTATGTTGCATTTACTGCTACAGAATTTAAGAAAGCCTTTGCCACAAAGAACAAGTTTTACATGCTAAAATGATGTTCTAAAGGCATTTTGCAGTAAAAGAGAAACTTCGCTTCTTACACAGTTCTCTTGATAACCCAGCCCCATCACAGGCCAAGTATCAAATATTACTTTTCATTACAGACCCCTGCAGATTTGAAATGAAGCTCATCCTCACAAATTTCTTTTTCCATCTCTGTTGCAAATGCAAGATGAAGACAAGTGCAAACAGAGTTGCTGAAAAAGAGGGTATTCTATTGTTTTCAAGTCAACAGAATAGCATGAAGAGAGCTACCAAGAAGCTCACTTCATTAACAGCTTGATATACTACTGACAAAATGTCATCAGAGATGTTAGACTAGAATCAACAGAATAATTTGTGTTTACACACGACTTCAACAGCATCAGCAACAGGTATATGGACTACAGCCTACAATGACAGAAGTTGCAAGACTGTCTTAGGCAAGAGTATTATTTGTTAAGACAAAAGGATGTTACAAAATGATGACCTTCCATTCCTTATTCCACAAAAATGACACGTACTCATAAGACTGGTGCTATTTTTATACTGCAAAAAGCAAGACGAGGCGTATGCACCCCCTTTCTGGA